ATGCGCAGCCCCAATATCTCGTGTTGTGATTCCCTTCAGGAGTAGGAGACAGACACGATCATAGATAAAGCTAAACTGTGACCGATCCAAATTTGATTTTGAGAGAACCGTCTAGATGCTTATGCTGACGCTCTGTCTTGACTGAGATTTCAGTGATAAGACCGCCGTTTACATCGCGAAAATTCACTCGGCGCAGGGTGCGTACCACCAGATGTTGTCTCCACCGTTTGGGGCCTAATAGTTTTTTTGGTTTTTCCCAGTTAAATGTACTGTCTTTTTACAGATGACCTCACCACACGCTTCCTACATGGAAAATTAGGGCTTGTTAAGTGAAACAATACACTTCTTTGACCCCGTCACACATTATCTTTCATTTATGCTTTAGGCACTCATGATGCATTCGGCCCCCTATCTGTTGTGTCTGTTCTCATTTTAGTCGTTAGCTGTTCTTCTATTCCCTCGATCTCTTTTTTCAATAAACTGCAATCGTCGTTTTGGCATATTGCAATTTTTCGCGGAGTTTAATTTTCGCCTGATCATCGGATTTCAGTTAAACGTTGCTCGGTTGTCAATATGGCAAATTAACATGACAATACACGTTTATATGCCCTATTTTTGTCACACAAAGTTACACTGGTCTCAAGTCAATCGTAACTGCTTGAAAAAACATGAATTTTTGTCCCACATGCAACTATTCCTTACAAGCTATCGTCGACTATCAGAGACTGGTACTAATCGTTCAAAAATAATTTGCACAAACCGAAGCCGGTGTCCCCACGTGTTTCGCTGACATATATATATATATATGCGTTCGACCGGTCAGCTTACTTGCAGTCTCCTTCTTGTTAAATCTTCAGTTTGGTAAAGAAACAAAGCACCTGTCTCACCCAGCTTCGTGTACTATAGTCACTGGGAGGTGGCAGGAGAGGAGCAAAAATGTTTAAGCAATGATGTGGTTCTCGTTACGTCGTTTGGGTGTCTCAAAGTTTGAATACTGTGCTTGCTCCATATTTTATCAACGAGTGTCTTCACTTCAGTAAAAAAGAACTTGTAATAAGTTAGGAGTTTGTGAGTGAGATCAAGGTTTTGTTTTTCACTGGACAGGACTGTGTTATTTGTCGTGTTTTATTGACAAAGACTCGCTTAGTACCAGTTCGCGGCCAGCTTTAGCATGGTGGTACTTTTGCCGTTACAGTATGCAGGTTTCGTCTGCCGCCGTTGCTGCTCCTGCTAATACACTACTGTCCTCAGATTGTACACAAATGGATGAACAATCAAAAAGCAAAACCATTTCCCCCTCATTCTACCGTTTCCCCTTCTACTTTTCTCAGAATTTTGGTGAACGTGCGTTTCATTGTTTTACTTTTGTGTCTACTGTCCTTAAACTATGCCTGTGTTATTTAGTTTTATACTTATCAGAACCTTAATATCGTCATCTACTTTAATCTACTTCTTTTTTATTAAACGTAGATGGCGGAAGACACGCCGAAGACGAGTAAACTAGAACAACGGTTGCATTTGGCTCAGTCGGAGAAGCGTTTCTACGAAGCCCATCAAATATACAAGACCATATACTTTAGGTGTACTGCGCGTAAAAAATACGCAGAAGCTCTGGAACACCTTCTTCCAGGGTCGAAGTTCTTACTTGCAAATAAGCAATGGGAAAGTGGAGTGGATTTGGCTTGCCTAGTCGTGGATACGCTTTCAAAGAGTTCTGTTGAAATAACGGAGAAGAACTTGACTGACTTTTGCGAACTTGTAAGCCTCATGCCGCCAACCTGTGCGGATCGGGAAAAATACATCTCGAAGGTCCTCAAACTGCTGTCTGGCAGTAAACTTTTATTGAATGCCTTCAACGAATTCCTCGGCCGACAATTTTGGCAAGAGGGCGCTTTGATACAGACGCGCAATCGGATGTTTCTTACAGACAATGGATTTGTTGTCGGCTGCTTTCTAATTGAGTTGCATCAGCGTTACGGTCTTACATCTGAAATTGACCTTTTTATAACTCAGACTGTCCTCCAATTCCTGTGCATGAAAAAAATTTGTGTAGCTGCGACAACTTTTTATACCTACACTCGTCGTCACCCGAAGCTGGAACCTGGACCGCCGTTTACGCATTTTCCCCTGCTCAATTTTGTCTGGCTTTTAATGCTAGCTATTGAACAGAAACTTGGGTCAAGTGTACTCTGCTGTCTGTGTAATAAATACAGCCCTCAGCTAAGTCGGGACCCCAGTTATTACATGTATTTAGAAAAGATAGCCCAGGTCTATTTTGGTGTTCAGCCGCGGCAGAATCCACTGACAAGCATTTTGTCGAACCTTACCAAAATGTTGGGCGACACCTTCGATGACGACGCGAACAATGATCGTACGGATGGATCACCATCTACTTCCTACAGTATGCATGTTGACGAAATCGATTGATACCACGCCCTCGCCCCCTCTCCTTCCCACCAAAGTCTCGTCATTAATTCGTCTGCGGTTTCCCCTCATCCTTATGCAATCCAGAATCAGTCGACAAGTAAACAATCGCTCTTACAGTTGCCGCCTGTCTCTGTCGACCATTGTTGCAGTACGCCTTTCCTGAGCCACCCTGCTTTTTTGAATTTCTTGTGCGTTCGCTTGTTTTGGTCGGTAGTGTGTTGATGAAATAAAACTCCATTTACCAATTGTTCCTTTTAAATCGCATGCTCCTCTAAATGATACTGATTGGTCTTCCCCGTTGTCATCTTCGGTCTCTGATTCACATGGCCTTCCAACTCTAGCTTAAACGTTGTGACTGTTCTGTCCTAAAATAGATTGAATAACTAACTGGAGTCAATTTATTGTCATTATTCTCGCCTACTTATTCGAGTAGAGATTGTCCTGTAAGTTCCTGGAATTTAGTCACTATAAAGTAGTGTGCAAGCCCGCGTATCTCCAAATTTCTTTGATGCGACTAAGATGAATGGTCAGTTCGTAGCCTTCAGCTGCAGCTACATTATTCATTTGCCTTATTCCCCACAACGGCCTGTGGCGGTGTGTGTCGGTATTTCGTAATCTCACACATGTTTCGATACCCGAACATTTTACCCATTTAAACTGTGCTTTACTGAGGGCTAAGCGATCTCGGCTCCAAAAGTCTTAAACGGGAGCTGTAAAAAGCCCACTGACGCTCTATTTAGCTAACACCTCCGACAACAGAAATGAGTGGTGCGTACTTAGACTCCGCAGCTGATCAGCAGCTTAGATTTCGTTAATGGGCAATCAGAACAACCGATCTGGAGTTATTCTGTCTGCCCGAGTAGATGTGGTATTAATTCACGCAAGCTTGCATTACGATGATTGATAACTAAAAGATAATAAATCTTACTTAAATCTGGACCAGAAATGGCGTGCATGCTTCTACATGGTTCTGTCACACCTAAGCTCGTCACACACTTTCTCGGTGCGTAATCTCATTTAGATCTGCGTGTCTAGTGAGCATCTAGCCCGGACTCAGTGAGTAGCTTTCAGCACAACTGTCTCGGAGTGTTAGCGGAAAAAGTATTTGTTTGTATCCAGGAGTCGGGTTCCTCATGAAACTGCAATCCTTCCCCAAAGTCCCAGCCTCGTGCTATAATTTTGGTGTACAAATCTCGGTCATTAATATTAAGGTGACTGACACCTTTCTCTTACGATGGCTTGAACAGCTATGTAGGCAGTTTGACCAGACCTGATACGGCGAATCTTATTGGCCCTCAACACGCCTTTCAACTGTCAAAAGTGTGGTTTGCGTTGTGGTTTTGGGGATTTGTTCTCATCAATTTAATCGAGTGTAGGATCTAGGTAGATGCGCTAGTCTACTATCGCTATAAACTAATTCACGCACAAGCCGCCCACCATGCTGCGGACACGGTGTTCATCATCTGTGATAATCGAATTGTTGTATTGCACTGCTTCGTCATTAGCGCAAATTTCCAGTTTATTCAATGCAGCAGTTCGATGTAGTCAACCCTACAAAGTTTTGGCTAAGTAATGATGCTTTTCCCAAAACACGTTTGCTGTACACTGCATGCTTGATCCACCCGAATAATAAAAATCAATGCATCGAGTTCGGTTATTAACTAAAAAATGAGTTTATTATTTCCGTGCCGGTTTTCTGTTACTACCACGCTGCTCTACTGCGTGTTTCTAGTCGACGCGTGCTTCAACGGACCGAAGTGACCAATCATCTGCCTCCTCTTTGCCATTGGCTGCTTCGACTCAATATGACTCCGAACTCGTCACCGAACTCACGCCTTATGACGCATTCTCGCTCCGAATCACGTGTGAGTGGTCGCGCGCACTTCCTCCATGTGCCTCTCGTTGATTAGTATTCTATTTAAACCATTCGAACAACAGAGGGAACAAACCAAATACAATCCAAATGTCCGTCAAAAGTGGACAACCACGCACCATGGTGGACGGCAGCTGTGGCGTTGGCAGTCCACAAACCCCAACTGCAACTGATGTGGGCCTAGGCCTGCAAGCTATCTACCGGACATGTTTTCGTCTCTACCCCGATCAACCCAGCCCCCTTCAAGTCACTGCATTGCGGAAGTTCTGGATGGGTGGTCCGGATCCTCTGGACTACATATACATGTTTTCTAATGCCGGCTCCGCCGACTCTCGAAGCCCTCCACATTGGCATTACGTTACCACTGGGCTTTCAGACCTTTACGGTGATGCCCGACTGCACAAGTAAGCGTCAAAACCCTTCAATGTCCCTGTTTAAATATCTTGTATGCGGCTTCCTATTTCGGTTCGTAACCGGCCTTCACAAAAAGACTTAAAAAATTATCCAGTTTTTTCGTCTAATACTAGCCAAACCAGCATTTTGTCAGTTCGTGAAATGTGCACTGAGTGTGTACTTTTGTTTATCTTTTCCCCTGGCTGGTGTGGAGGCCTTCACTGAAATTCTTAGGATGGGCTCACCCTTACTATTGGAACACTACTGCATATGAGCTAAAATTGCTCAACTTTTGGACAATTTGAAGAGGAACGCAGAATATTAATTCCTAGATCTAGTTCATATCGCTACGCGGCCAAGCCGCACTTAACGTTGTTGCGTTTTACGGTCGATGTTGCTTTATGCTTCCTCTTTCCCGACTTGGTTTCCCCCCAAGTTGACGCCTCCCTACCCCCGCAACAATTTTAGCATATGTACTGACCACGCTTTCTTTCTGTTTGTGCGAAACACGTGAGTTCTTGGGCTTATCGCCCTTAGGATATGTTTGGTGATAGTATGCTGTTTTTTTTCGTGCTGGTTGTACGTGGGCCTCGCTTCTACAGACTAAAACCATTCGTTTGAATTTCTTAAGGTGCATAACATTTGTATCCCTCCCATGCCGAGGTCATTCTGCCGTCGCCTTGGTTGGTGTGCTCGATGAAGCCTATCAGAATCCAACCCCAGGATCCCCTCCTGTAAATGCGCCATTTCAGTATTAATTTTGTTCATAGTTTTCGCTCTTATAAAGTTTGCCTGAATCGACAGGCTTCCGTATAAAGCAACGCGCACGGTACACTGTCAATTAGCAGAAGTTTAACCACCGAAAAGGCTTAGTTATCTAGAAGCCCCTTTCGCGCTTAAATCTTTGATGGGTGGTTGTCAATTTTTCGTAACATCTCCGTTGCAGTAACTTAACGCGTTCAGAGTTATGCAGATAACTCGCCAATCGGATTGACTATTAGAGTCCCAAATACTTGATTAAGTAGGAAAGGTTGGCGCAGCATCAGAACCTCGCTTTTACCTAAGTTTTCGAAAACATGCAGGAGTCCGTTTGTGATAAGAAAGTAGCGATATTTTCGCTGTTTTATAATATAAGTTAGAGGCCGGCATTTCACCCTTCCAAATGACGGTTCACTGCAGTTCCCGCTGAGGAGGAATCGGTATATTTTTTGTATGTTTACGACCAGCCCTTTATATTTGGGCGTAAGGTTAATGCCTGTGCAAAGTGTAAATCAGGCCCTTCACTCGGATAAGAACTCGATCAACCAACACATTCGTCTCAGATTAGGCTAATCTGCTTCGTTTGGAAGTCTTAGGTCTGCAAGATATAAAACCGGTCGATTTACTGTCCAAACATGCAGACCAAAATAGGTCAGAGTTAATAGGTGTTTTCCGTTTGAACATGGTTGACTGAAGAGGAATAAACCAACCTCAAAAGGCTGCGGTCTTATTCTCCACCAGCAGTCGAAATTGCTAATCCAGGGGACAATCCAGAAAATGTCCAAGACTGCATAAATCTCGCCTTGCAGTAGAATGGGTTAACTCACCATGTCTTGTTGTCAGGTCACCCTTGGACCAAAAGTGAAGCAAATGACCTCGACTTATTTTTTAAAACTTTATAAGTTTGCCTATTTTTGTTGTCTGTGAATTATCGATACTTTCTGAGCTTGAAACTTAAGAGGTCAATTTGGAGATAGTGTTCCAATTCGCCCTTTGCATTTTCTAAACTTCATAAACGCAGTTTTGAAGCCTTTATGACTACCGTCTCCGAAGAGATGGCAATATGTCTTCCGTAATACCAGTGAAATAGTTTTTGCAATTTTAGGAAATACTCCAATTAATTAATGACTAATGATGCAAGAAAACATTTTCCGAATGGCCTTAAATTCTGCATATCACGCCTTCAAGCTCTTTATAATAAAGGGTTTGAATTAGCCTCTGCTTTGACCACGTTTATATCAGGACCACAGCGAGCAAGGTAGAAGAGACAGCAAAATTTAGTTTGCTTAATACTGAGGTTCCCTTGGTAGTACGTATTTTCGCTCCAGTTTTTATTCGCAGACTAGTTTTTTGAAAAACTTTCGACCCTGAAATAAATCGTTTTTATTTTCAGCAGCCTAAATAAGAATGACGGTTGTGGGAATCTGCTTACCCCAATGTCTGCTTATAACGCTGGCGTCATCTATTTATAAAAATTAGCTTTCTTAGTACCACATAACTGTCTCTTTTTTTTCGAACACAGTTGAAATTACCACAGTCTATCCGTTTAAAAACTTAAATATTTAATTTCAAGGACTATTTATGCGCACTTACGCTACCTCGTCAAGCATCTAGACTGCTTCTCGGGTCAGGAGACAATTTTAAATGCGCGATGGTTATCAGAGTTGCATCTCAAATGGAGGAAGCAGATGCCGATGTTTTCGATGTTCAGTTTTACGCCTTAGACCGCCGATCCTCATCCCCGAGTCGCGAAAGGTTTTATTGATTGGCAGGTGTAAATAATCGGCCGCGCATACTACAGTAGGATGCCAAAAACCAGTTTTTATATTTTTAGGGTGTAATAGTGCAACCATTATGCAATAACGTACCTTATAATAAGGCATGTTGTTTGTTATACAATATAAGTGGTCTTGTTCGTTTTATTTTTTTTCAGGTACTATCTGAGATCTTCAGGCAGGCAACCGTTTTAGATTTTGGGATTCGTACGAAAAGGTTTGGGAACCATGACTATAGGTTCTGTTGCCTATATAGGCGATCGTTCTATGAGTCTATTCTTGCAGGTTGCTGAAGTGCAGACTGGGGTTGTCTCGCCAGTCTCCATCCCCACCTAGTATGAATCCAATTTTTCCGTGCGTAAGGGAAACATTGGTTTCGTCCTATAGTTTATATTTCATTTTGCACACCTAATCTACCGATTTTTATTTGGT